GATCCCCACTGCATGTGCAAAAATGTTTGCACCTGTGTTAAGACACAAGAACCTAAAGATCAGGCCCTTAGTTTGTTTATTAAGGTGACACATACTGCCTGCTATGATGCAAGCTATGACGAGCCTTTTGCGGTGACCCAACACTGTTATGGTCCCCCTCAAGAAATAGATTTGCATACTCAACCTGAAGCTTTTTTTTTTTACATTGGGCCCTTGATTTTACGTTATTACATCATGTTCTACTCCACCCTTTTGAGTTTTGTGTCAGTTGGAGCTGTTCTGAAGATATTCCTTTAGGCTATATCCAAGTATCGTCTTCCTATGGGCAACGACTTGAAGGCACAAACTAAACTGTTTATAATTTATATATTATGGTACGCCAGCATTCATAACATGTAGGCGAATCACTGTCCCCCAGACATCCGTGGTTACAATTTTATATTAATATCTTTTAAAAACATAGCGGAGTGTGTATATCATTTATGGGATGGGTGGCATCCCATAAATGATTGGAATAACGGGGATAACCTGGGCCAGACTGTGACAGTGAGGTGAAACAGAAACCGGCTTTAGATACACATCTGTATTCTATCTTTGTTTTTTTTTCATTAATTTACTAATATTCTTCTTCCTTTATTACAGATACATCATCTCAAGATGAGTAGCCACTTTGTCTTGCACCTCTGTATTTTGGGTACTTTTACATTTTAATATTCATTATGTGCCATATGAATTGAAAATAAGTAATGCATGTTTGCTTCGTTAATGTTTACTTCGGAGTATTTATCTCTTGCAGGTTCTCTTTACTGCACATCCCAGGCTTGGGAGATTAAAATGCCAAGACATATCAAGGGATTGTTGGGCTCCTGCCTCACCATCCCTTGCAGCTTTGACTATTATCGGTATCCACCTAAAAGAGCCGATCGAGTGGTTTGGTACCAGTATGTAAGCAGGGGATATCCTTTGGTCTATGACAAATGGTACCCAAATGATGTCATACCCTTATATAAAGGAAGAACCAGCGTATTAGGAAATCGGAAATCTTGCAGCCTTAAGATTGATACCGTGAAATGGAATGACCACAGACAGAAGCTTTATCCTTGGGTGGATCCAGAAAATATTGGCAGAAGCACGTATGCATTCTATGAGACAACTGTGACGATTGAAGTAATTGGTATGCTCTCAGTTAAAACCTTGAACACAATTACATAATAAGTTGTAAGATATATTTT